TGGAGCTGCACATCAGAGCATACCCGCTTATTTTCACCTCTGATGATTGGGCTAATAGTAAATGAAAGGCAGTACATAGGGAAAGCAAAACCAAAACACACACTCTCGTTGCAGGCATTTGATTTGTTTTATCTTTCTATGCATGGAACTCCCATTGACTTCAGTAGGTGTTCTGAACTGCCAGGAGGCGTTGCTGTTGCTTCTTTTGAAGTCAATGGCATACCTTTCACTGGATTAATGGTGCACAATCAATCCCATTGAGCCTTTGTAATGATTTGTAACCAAATATAGGGGCTAAATTTAGCTCTTACACCATGGGAAACCTAAATACATGCATTGATCTATGGCATTGCACAGGATTTAGGGGACAGCAGAATTTGCCCCATTATGGTAAAATGTTTGGTCACGAACACATTTGGGCCACATTCTGCTCTTAGAACCCTTTGACTTCCAAGGAGCAGCCCGAGTATTAAAATAGAGTTTGTCCCCTCTCTCTTATTTTTCTTCATGTTTCCTATATTTTCCAGGTATTTAATCTGACTTCATTAGCCAGAACAGGTTTGGAATAAAACAAAGATCTATTGCAAGCATCATTGCAGGATCAGGGGTTATGTATGGACAAACATTCAAGAATCTTTTCATCAGTTATTACAGGGTATCCACAGTTTACCCACCGAAATAGAATGTAGCATATAAAATCTGTAAAACAAGCATTTATAAATATTGGATATCAGTAAATAGAATTCTACTGATAAGAAAGATTTTTTTATTCAAAATATTTGCCTACCAGCAGACACGGTTTCTTCTAGCAAATATCACCAAAAAGATGTGATTTTTCTATACAATATTGCAGAGCCCCAGAAAAGGTGTTAGTAACAATGTTAGCTGATTTTTTTCTAAATTGTTCTCTCTTTACATCTGTACCTGCATACAGGACTTGGCTTTTGGGCATCCAAATGCCAATGTGATTCCTCTTTTTACAAATGTGGGTGACAGAAAGTTTGAATCATATTATCTTAGAACTGATGTCATCAACTGTATGGCATTCAATATCCATTATTGATGGCAGCAAGAAACTGATGAATACACACATCTGTGCTAGGCTTTACACTTTTCCTTGGTACATCATTGTTCTACTGTCTTTCAGCAATGTGTCAATAACGTCATCAGTGACATTTCATCCTTCTTCCAGCATAGAAAAATAGCAATATTATGATCTTGTGCTCTCAGCATTGTTCCTCCTTCCTGATGTGATTTGAGTGAAATGATGCAGTTTACTTTATTATAGAACTATAGAAAAAACTTATTTTATTTCTGAATGAGACTTCTTTAATTATAAAAAAGCTATGTTATATAAAGTTCTATATGGAAACCCCAAGTCTTACTTATGTAAAATTATGAATAAGCTTTTATATAGCAGGTACTTAAATTAGTAATATATTTTATGTATTTGCTCAACTTTAATGTAATTTATAAAGTAAATGTAGAATTAAACAGGAAAGTCCATTATTACATTTTGCAGTCATTGAATAATGTTTGTAATTTGGAAGCTATAAACACACATTCATAATTTATTAATAGCTATATTAATTATATGTAAATTATATGTAAATTTAAATAATTCTACTGTTCTATAAAAATCCAAACCAATTGAAGGCAAAATAACTCATGAACAGGAAACTAATTGTATATATAATCAGTTATGCAAGATGTACCCTGTTATAGGTACTAGAACCGCATTGGTGTACGGGTCTGAAATTATGTTAAAAAATACTTAAATTAAAAGCTTGGTATGGTTGTAATGGCCAAATTAAATAAGATTTGTTTAATAAAGATATGTTGATGTCCTGCTGTACTCTGAAATGGGCTTAATTTAGCAATCAGGTGCTGTTTATGTATCTTTAAATAGTATCTATATTTTGTAAAATAATTTTTATCATAAGGAAAAATTATCACAATGTAAACAGATATTTTAAAGGTGAACAAAATGTGTTTCTGCTTATTAGACACAACATCTTAATACAGAGGTGGCTTTTTTGGTACAATAATGATAATTAACTAACTTTAAAAAAATGACATCTTTCATCACAAAGAATCAATCCCACAATGCTTAATAAACTGATACAGACTATACATATAGTATTCATAATAATTATTCATTTTATTGTGAAATGCAGCTATTTCAGGGGTGGATCTGAAAATAAGAAGTGAAGAGTTATTAGATAGGCAGAATTAGAATAAATTAGAATTTATACAGAATAACATGCTTAATACCTCTAGGAAATTTTTATGGACCTCAAGTGTCCGTGTCCAGAGTTTTACATCTCATTCAAAGCCCCTTGGCTTTGCACCCTCCTCTCTCTTTTGTCTTCAGCAGTCCAAATTTGATAATATTCAGGGCACACTGCAAAGTTCATGTTCCCCCCAATCACTTGAAAAAGGAGAGATAATTATGAGGATGGTTAATAATAGATTGAAAAAGAAGATTGTTTCAGACTGTAACTTGCCTGGTTTTGCTGGAGGTTAGTCATATTTAATAAGGATTTTTCATCTGTGACTTTTAAGTGGAGTCATTGTGCTAGAGAGACTGGACAGGTTTTACTGTGTATTAATCTAGAACAATAAACACTATTATATTGCACTCGAAACTGGGACACAGAAAAATAAAGGTCAAAATTTTGGAAACAGGCCACTGATATTGAATGCCTCAATTTCTGGCTACTCAATGTGAGACTGAACGGATGAGGAACTGTGACTGCACCAGAAGTTTAATGAGAGCTGCAAGTGCTGAACAGTTCTGAAAATCAGTGCCACAGTGTCTCAAAATGGCTAGCCAGTCACAGAGAGGAAGCAGTTTGACAAACTGACTACATGTGACCTGCCCCACTGCGTTTCAGTTGTTGAACACTAGAAACCCAATGCCATGTTTTACCTACTAGGCCATTCTCAATGCCCTTATGCTCCAGCGATCACTGTAACATCACATGTATACATGACTTTGCAGTTAGGTCTAAAATGCACATATCTCTACTTCATCATAATTATGGCCCAAATTTTGTATTCAAGAATCAAAAGTATATATAAAATACTAACCAAACCATAACAAAACCAAACTTTTCCTAAAGCAGTTTTTGAATTGTTATTCACTTTGTTAAACATTGGGAACAATAGAGTAGAATAGTTAAGGTATACAAAGTCTTTCTCTTCACATATGAATCAGCAATAGACCACTGCTGAGATTAATATCTGAAGAATAATTTAAACAGTTAGTATCAGATATTGCTTTTATGAGCACATTACATTACAAAATTGCACATTTCATAGGAAAACTCTCTGCTTTTCCTTTTGAACATTCCCTAAATGCCACAATGGCAACCTCTACATTGTACCACAATAACAGGTCTATCACCATGAATTTATCCATCATTCTCGCACAAACACACAGCCATAGCTCACTGTTGAAAATACTCATTGATGTGACATTTCTCCAGTTATTGTTATGATTGTTTTTGAGGATGAATATTTTGCTGTGATTACCTGGTGGCCTGACTGATTCTGCTCCCTTAAAGTTGTCCTGGAGTCCTGCTCAGAACCCCCTTTCCTTGTCCATGTAACTATCAGTTTATCCCATAGGCTGCCTGGGCCTCAGCTGCTGCATTGTTCTGCAGCTGCCAGGCTACAATTCTGCCTCCTTTCATTCTCTGCCTGCAGACTGGATTCTTGCTCTGGCTCCTGGATTCTGTGCTGCCAGGCTCCTTAGAATAATGGAGGGATATGCTCTGTAATTAGCTGACCATTGTGACAAACCAAAGAGCAAAAAGTAGCTGGAGACAGATATATGGTAAGGGGACAGAACAGAAAATTTCAGGCTCCTGACTTCAGCTAACTGGCATATTCTGCAGCAAAAATCTTGAGTTCTGTGCATCTTTAAAAAATTCACAAGGCCCTAATTGAAATTAACAAGGGAGCTTACATCCCACTGAGCAATTATTTTGGGCTCTTTGCAGACTCAAGTAGACATCACTGCATCAATTTACACTCAGGTTGTCTCTGCAAATATAAAGAGTAGAAACAAATATTTTTGAATAAAAATTTAGATGGTGCATGTTTCTGCAGAAAGAAATGAATTCTGTAGTTGCAGGGTCACGGAATCTCCAAAGCCCTTCTTTTGATTGATAGTGAGTGTTTCTTAGTTTAACCACATTGGAGCATATATAACTGGAATAACTGAGTATTGGAGGAAAGATTAAAAATGAATGATCAGATTGTCAGTGTTTCCAGTAAGCTCATTGTGGACAGGGGGACTATCTTTTTGGTCTGAGGTCTTGGTCTGTGACTAGGCCTCCTAAGTGCTACAGTAATATCAGCGTTAAAAATAAATAGTGTATGTAAAAGGATTTGTATGATCACATGTATCAAGTGCTAATAAAAATGCCTTACAATTTACGCAGAACTGGTCATATATCTGTGCAACACATATAGTTGCCTGGAGTTCCCACTTTTACCATTTATGCTTGTCTTAAATGAACTGGTTGCTGTCTGGCTTCCAAGACACTGAGAGCATTCTGTGATTTGCAGACATTTTTGGAAAATGTGCAATCCCTGATCCGCATCTGTGAAAGGAAAATATTTAATTTTACTGGGTTGTTATTGATTCTAATTCTTCTCTTCTATATTTCCACAATGTCTGTATTAATTTGCTATTTATAAGTAACAATTATTTAATCCCTAGGAGAAATAGTAAAATATTAATGCCTTACAAGTTACTGTGTGAGTAAATATATTGGCAGAGGATTAAGAATGACCTGAAGCTCAAAATCTTTCTAAGTACTGCTCTCTTTTTCCATTCATAGCTCTTACTGTATCATTTATAACTTAAAAGGCTATTGTCATGATTGCAGTACTGTCAGGGCATAATGCATGATTTATTATGTGCAGCAGGTGACTAGCAGTTAACATTTAATCTAAAAAAGATTGTTATTGTTTGTTTTTTTCCTATAGTTTTCCCTGGGTGGTTCATGTTTTTATCAGTGACAAGATGACGATTCATATTTTTACCAAAGGACCCAGTGAGTCATCTTATTAACTCTACTGAAGTACATGTTTGGCAATATTCCTACCACAGTAAGTCTATTTTTTCATACTCCTGAAAACATGGTTCCATAAGTTAGTGAGGCTGTGATATGCAGTCAAGAGTAAAAATATTTTTCTTTATATAATGTAGTGTCAATATAAATTAAAAGAAATGCACAAAGCATGCAGAAAACAAGTGTCTTCTTACTCATTTGTTAATCCCCGCCAGCTAACCACGGGTTTAGCTGTGTGGACTGCTTTTCCTGTGATTTTGTTCACCTTATATGCTGTGGGATTCCTTTTCCCAAGTCCACAGCTTTGTGTCAGGTTGTATTATTACTGCTCTCATGATTTGCAGTTCTGCACACTAATGTAATTGGGCAGGTACATGTGTGCATGACAGCACTGCTTTCCCAATGTTTTGATCTGGTTGGGAGAAAGATGAGGCTTTTTTTTTTTTAATGCTCCTGCTTCTCTTTTGACTACTCATTTCTTGTATCCTTGAAGGCGAAATGAGAAATACAGACTGAAGTGCATGGTTCCTGTTTTGGATTATTTACAGTGCCATGCATTCTTTTCTCGCAGAAGAGCAGATGACTGGGAGTTACTAGTTCTTATGTCAGAATAACTAGATGGTAATTGTACTGATTTATGGCAACTCATGCATAATCTCAGGATTATAGGGCAAATAATCTCTTCACTACATCCATTAATATTAACTTAATGGAAAAGATCTGGAAAACCAAGATTAAATTGGGCCAGTCAGAAGATTGCCCTCCCTAGAGCGCCTCGTCTCTACTACTGCTTACAATTCTCACATGCATACTTGTAGGCTATGTCTAGACTGGCATGATTTTCCGGAAATGCTTTTAACGGAAAAGTTTTCCGTTAAAAACATTTTCGGAAAAGAGCGTCTAGCTTGGCATGGACGCTTTTCCGCAAAAACACTTTTTGCGGAAAAGCGTCCATGCCAATCTAGACGCACTTTTCCGCAAAAAAGCCCCGATCGCCATTTTCGCAATCGGTGCTTTTTTGCGGAAAACAAATCTGAGCTGTCTACACTGGCCCTTTTGCGCAAAAGTTTTGCGCAAAAGGACTTTTGCCTGAATGGGAGCAGCATAGTATTTCCGCAAGAAGCACTGATTTCTTACAGTAGGAAGTTAGTGCTTTTGCGGAAATTCAAGCGGCCAGTGTAGACATCTGGCAAGTTTTTCCGGAAAAGCGGCTGATTTTCCGGAAAAACTGGGCAGTCTAGACACAGCCATACTGTGAATAGATATTTTTGTACACTTGCCAGGCTGTATTGTAGTTCCTGAAGTCAATGAAGATTGCTTCAAGAAAGATTCCTACCTAATGGAGAAACATGTCTTTAAATCAACTATACAGTTAAACAAAATGACAAAGAAATCATTAGGTATTGAGATAACCATATAGTGAACCAAAACACATTACTAGAAACAATCTCAATAGTTATTTTAAGGATCTCTGCTGTGAAACCCCAAATTATAATATAGAGCAAAACTAATTAGTGTAGTTGATGAGACTTTTTAATGTAATCCGTGACACGTCTCAGAGTGACTTGTGTCAAGTGCAGGCAAAAAGTAAAGATAGGTGGAGTTTCAAAATATTCAATATGCTTGTTTATATACTTACTCTGATAAAAGCTAGCAGATCAGAATACAGCAAGCATATCTTCACAATAATTGTTTTGGATGTATTCTGTTTGAAAATGTCAGCATATTATAAACTTTGAAACATATTATAAACTTTGAAACAGTAAGATAGAGCATATAAAAAAGAATGTTAAACATGTTCGAACCAAAACATTACCTAAATTGGAAAGTGAATGTCCTCCAGATTTTAATTATTTAAATATCTAATTATACAAAGTGTTAAATACATTGCTTGTCAGCAAGGTTTTCTTTTTCCAGATATAAAAACACACATCTATTTTTGGTGGAATTTACCTAGTGCAGGGAATTGGTGAACCAACCATTTTTCACTGTGTAGAACTATAGTCAAATTTTGTAACAGGCCATTGATTTGAAGCTCACTGAAATCAAGGGAAGTTTATCCATTCACTACAATGGACTTTAGGTCAGGCCTTTAACATACACTTAAGGTACGTCTAGACTGGCAAGATGCTTTTGCGCAAAACCTTGCCAGCTGTCTACACTGGCTGCTTGAATTTGCTCAAGAGCACTGACTTTGTACTGTACAAAATCAGTGCTTCTTGCACAAATACTTTCCCTCTCCCACTCAGGGATAAGCCCTCTTGCGCAAGAATACTTGCACAAGAGGGCCAGTGTAGACAGGCACCTTAATTTTTTGCGCAAGAAAGCCCGATGGCTAAAATGGCCATCGGAGCTTTCTTGCGCAAAAGCACGTCTAGATTGGCACGGATGCTTTTGCTCAAAAGCACTTTTTGCACAAAAGCATCCATACCAATCTAGACGCTCTTTTGTGGAAATACTTTTAACGGAAAAACTTTTCCGTTAAAAGTATTTCCGCAAAATCATGCCAGTCTAGATGTAGCCTTAGTGGAAATGTGTTTGAAGGCCTCATAGCTATCTCTCCAAATATTATTCTCATATCACAAACCATTTACCGCTTGGCATGATTTATACTGTCTAGTCAAAGATACCCAGATTTTGCATAACCAGGAAGGTAATTTGGTAAGAAGTTCAATATGTGGCCTGTGAAGGAAGACTGAAAGAATTGGGTTTGTTTAGTTTGGAAAAGAGAAGACTGAGAGGGAACATGACAGCAGTTTTCAAGTACCTAAAAGGATGTTACAAGGAGGAGGGAGAAAAATTGTTCTCCTTGATCTCTGATGATAGGACAAGAAGCAATGGACTTAAACTGGAGCAAGGGAGTTTTAGGGTGGACATTAGGAAAAAATTTCTAACTGTCAGGGTGATTAAACACTGGAATAAGTTGCCTAGGGAGGTTATGGAATCTCCATCTCTGGAGATATTTCAGAGTAGGTTAGATAAATGTCCATCAGGGATGGTCTAGATGGTGGTTGGTCCTGCCATGGGGGCAGGGAACTAGATTTGATGACTTCTCAAGGTGCCTTTCAGTTCTAGTATTCTCTGATAACTTCAGCATAACCTGTCCAATGTGTGCTTTGCTGCTTTAATGAGTACATCTAAAAAGAAAATCTAACCTTGAAAAATGTATCTGAGAATGCAAAATTCAGGAATCCATGTCCACTGCAATGTCTAATAACCTGCTGCAGGACAAAGGAATCCTGCGTCAGCAAAATAGGATGATTATGATATCTTCTCTAGGGCTGTGTCTACATTGGCCCCTATTCCGTAATAGGGATGCTAATGTAGCACTTGGGAATAGGCAAATCCGCGGGGGATTTAAATATCCCCCCACGGGATTTGCATTTTCATGGCTGTCGCTTTTTTCCAGCTTGTAGATAAGCCGGAAAAAAACGCCAGTCTGGACGCAATCCTCCAGAAAATAAGCTTTCCGGAAAAGGATCTCTTGAAAGTGGGAATAAGAGATCCTCCGGAAAGCTTATTTTCTGGAGGATTGCGTCCAGACTGGCGTTTTTTTCCGGCTTATCTACAAGCTGGAAAAAAGCGGCAGCCATGAAAATGCAAATCCCGTGGGGGATATTTAAATCCCCCGCGGATTTGCCTATTCCCAAGTGCTACATTAGCATCCCTATTACGGAATAGGGGCCAATGTAGATGTAGCCTAGGTCCTTTCAAGCCTACATTTCTATGATATTTTAACTTCACAAATCTCATAAAAATGCAGGAGTTAAGAGAAAATGCACAAGTGAACGCTAATAAATCTCGCTAGGAAATTATTGTAATAACAGTTGCTTGGAAGAAAAATTAAACATCTCCAAAACAAATATTCAAAGAGTACCCCTTTCTCTCAGTGCAATGATTCTAGTTAGCATGTAGCCCTCAACTATTCATCTAAAGCTTTAAAAAGTGGAAATATTGAATGTAAAACAAAAGACACTTTCACATTCATGAACAATTTGCAAAGTTATTTTTTTTTTGTCATGGAGCAAGAGGGCTTAGCTGGAGAGGAACAACTGTGGTCATGAATCTGTTGGTCATGTATCACTCTTCCCTCAAAGATACAGGCTGAGTAAAAAATATTATTATAATGGGAAATTCTCATCCATGGCATTATTTCACAAGACTTTTTATAGCTCTCCACTGAAATAAGATTTTCTACCTTACATTTTTTCTGATGGTGTGTACAAAAGTGACTTGACATTTTTTAAATTAAGACTTGAGACTCGACTTTGGATTAGACTCGAAAGTGACTTTAGGGACTTGAGACTCGACTTGAGACTTGAACTGTAGTGACTTGAGACTTGACTTGGACTTGACAATGATTCTTTGAAGACAACACTGGGCAATACCACAGTGCAAATAAGTAATTATTATTCATAGTGTTCCTAGCAAAAGAAACAGAGTTTAGATTTACTTCAAGGTGTGTGGGAAATGGACAAAAATGAATTTATTTTTAGTTCTGTAGTAAAACCCGTGGATAGTTTTCTGAAGACATCCACAAAGTGTGCAGCGGCAGTCAAAAAAGTAAACAGGATGTTAGGAATCATTAAAAAAGGGATAGAAAATAAGACAGACAATATCTTATTGCCCTTATATAAATCCATGGTACGCCCACATCTGGAATACTGCATACAGATGTGGTCTCCTCATATCAAAAAAGATATACTGGCATTAGAAAAACCTCAGAGAAGGGCAACTAAAATGATTAGGGTTTTGGGATGGGTCCCGTATGAGGAGAGATTAAAGAGACTGGGACTTTTCAGCTTGGAAAAGAGGAGACTAAGGGGGGGATATGATAGAGGTCTATAAAATCATGAGTGGTGTGGAGAAAGTGAATAAGGAAAAGTTATTTATTAGTTCCCATAATATAAGAACTAGGGGCCACCAAATGAAATTAATGGGCAGCAGGTTTAAAACAAATACAAGGAAGTTCTTCTTCACCCAGCGCATAGTCAATCTGTGGAACTCCTTGCCTGAGGAGGTTGTGAAGGTTAGGACTATAACAGGCTTTAAAGGAGAACTAGATAAATTCATGGAGGTTAAGTCCATCAATGGCTTAGACAGAATGGGTAAGGAATGGTGTCCCCAGCCTCTGTTTGTCAGAGGGTGGAGATGGATGGCAGGAGAGAGATTGCTTGATCATTACCTGTTCGATTCACTCCCTCTGGGGTACCTGGCATTGGCCACTGTCAGCAGACAGGGTACTGGGCTGGATGGACTTTTGTTCTGACCCAGTATGGCCATTCTTATGTTCTAAGAAATTATGATGTCACTCAATTTAAATCCAGCCTTGGGTATTAAGAACATAAGAATGGTCGTACTGGGTCAGTAGCCCAGTACTAGCCCAGTAGCCTGTCTGCCGACCGTGACCAGCACCAGGTGCCCCAGAGGGGGTGGAGCAAAGACAACGATCAAGCTATTTGTCTCCTGCCATCCTTCTCCAGCCTCTGACAAACAGAGGCCAGGGGCACAATTTCTATCCCCTGGCTAATAACCTTTTATGGACCTAACCTCCATGAAATTATCTAGCTTCTCTTTAAATTCTGTTATAGTCCTAGCCTTCACAGCCTCCTCTGGCAAGGAGTTCCACAGGTTGACTAGGCGCTGTGAGAAGAAGAACTTTCTTTTATTAGTTTTTAACCTGCTACCCATTAACTTCATTTGGTGTCCTCTAGTTCTTCTATTATGGGAACTAATAAATAACTTTTCTTTATTCACCCTCTCCACATCATTCATGATTTTATATATCTCTATCATATCCTCCCTTAGTCTCCTCTTTTCTAAACTGAAAAGTCCCAGTCGCTTTAACCTCTCTTCATATGGGACCTGTTCCAAACCCCTAATCATTTTAGTTGCCCTTTTCAGAATCCTTTCTAAGGCCAAAATATCTTTTTTGAGGTGAGGAGGCCACATCTGTACACAGTATTCAAGGTGTGGGCGTACCATAGTTTTATACAGGGGCAGTAAGATGTTCTGTGTCTTATTTTCTATCCCTTTCTTAATAATTCCTAGCATCCTATTTGCCTTTTTGACCGCCGCTGCACACTGTATGGAAGTTTTCAGAGAACTGTCCACGATAACACCAAGATCTCTTTCCTGATTTGTCGTAGCCAGAGTAGCCCCCATCATACTATACGTATAGTTGGAGTTATTTTTTCCAACGTTCATTACTTCACACTTATCCACATTAAATTTCATTTGCCATTTTGTTGCCCACTCACTTAGTTTGGTGAGATCTTTTTGAAATTCTTCACAGTCTGCTTCTGTCTTGACTATCTTAAACAGGTTAGTATCATCCACAAACTTTACCACCTCGCTGCTTACCCATTTCTCCAGATCATTTATGAATAAGTTGAACAGGATTGGTCCCAAGACTGACCCTTGGGGGACACCACTAGTTACCCCTCTCCATTCTGAAAATTTGCCATTTATTGTAATTTGAGAAGAATTGAGGAGGGAGGATCACAGTTTTCGTTACAAATGTCTTTAGTAATTGTATAAA